TATTATGATATAATAATTATTTTTATGTGCTAACATCTTATACTTAGCAAGTCTAAGAGACTCTACATGTAGAAGTAAAAGGGTTTCAGTGAAGTATTTTGAAAAATGAATTAACATACCCAAAATAAACAGCTTTTTGACACGTTAGCAAAATGAATTAGAACATTTAGTGGGAAAAGATCTTATTCATAAGAGGGGGAGAATAACTATAGATTGCCTAGAAATGAAAGTTCCAAAAAAGTTTAAGATATAATAGAGGAAAAAGAACTATAAAGCTTTACTGAAGAGCATAAATAACTTATGAAACATTAACAAGATGTCAAAAAATGGTTTCCCTGAAGAATTTATAACACAGAAAAATGCTTAGGCAATGTTTAGTGAAAGAAGGGAATACAAAAACATACATAAGATATGAACACGATTATGTAAAACAAACAAAAGTCATACAGAGAAAGAAAATTGGAAGAGAAAATATATCCTAACATAACAAAGGTATTCTCTGAGTGGTGGGTCTGGAGATGAACATTTTTCCTGTGTAATTTTTATTGTTTTCCAAATATTTTTTAATAAGTACATATGTTTTTAACAGTTCTTAAAAAGTTACATTTTGTAAAAATTAAAATATATTGTACCTACCATTTAAATCACTGCCTTCTGAAGTTCCACTGAAAGCAGAAAAATTCAAACCAAACATATACAGTCCTAGGTAACAACGTTTTATCATCTGATTCAAATGTTCATAAAAACGGCAGTGATATAAAAGAGCCTGAAGGGCAGGTTTTCCTACGAGCGATAGGCCCGAGTCCTCATCATGAACACAGGGACCCTGCAGGAAAAAAGGCAGAGAAAAAAAGAGAAACACTCATTTATCACATAATTTCTTCAAAAAGATCCATTGTCCTCTCTCAAGGAAACAAATCAGTCCCAGAGGCTACCATCTTCCTCCCACTCTGCCTCTGTCCTTGCAGTTACAGCAGGCTGGCCTAGGGCAAATTATTTCATAACACTCTAGGTCTTTGCTGCCTAGACACCCACTGAAAGCCAAAAGCTGATCTATTCTGCTTTTTCAGGGGCCATTTCATTTAAAATGTTTCTATGAAATGATCAGCTTTAACCAAGTAATCATATACTTGAGCCATAAACACAATAAAAGCAGTATTTTTCAACTTACACACAATAGTAAAATAATAAATAAGTATTAACATATCTGAAATAATGTGGGGTCCAAGTAATTATGTTCAAAAGTATTTTTTGAACCTATCAATAAGCCAGAAAAAATGAAAAGGTTCATCAGTATCCACAGCAAAATCTGTCTGCCACATTACTTCCCACTGAATTAACTTTGACAAGGCAAAAAAAAAGTGTAAACACATCCACACACACATACACCTGCCACCGGGAGGCCAAAAACAATCTATCACACATTTTATCTCTTGGTATTTTTCTTCAAATAACCTTTTACATTGCCACCCACTACTTTTCCTGGAATGTCCAATGGCAAAAATTAAGTAAATAGAAGATTTGCTTAAAGTTTGCAAATAATCCTATCAGTAATTTATGAATATTTCTGTTTTCTGGAAAATGATAATCAATGAAGTTAAGATTTTAAAACAGACCATAAGAAAAAAGGAAAAATAAAAGATAAAAACTAGAAATCTAAGTGCCAACAAGAAGGGTATGGTCAAAACATATTCAAAGTTTCCCTTGAACCACTAAGATTTGTGTGTGTATCTCTTCTTTCACCCCTCCCCATCACTAAGAAAAGGTGGATATAAAAACTTTACTCTTTAGGAAGATAAAGGAATTCACAAGTTAAAGCTATAATTACACTAACAAGGTTATTTCCATTAACATTCCTTTTTAAGGATATTTATATATATCATAATTAAATCTCTTATTTCAATATTAAATGTCTTTTATGATTCTCAAGTTGCAATTGTTGTGTTCTAATAAATCTACCCAACACTGTGAGCTTATTCTTCATAAATAGAGCAATTTACATAATAAATAAGACTATTTAATGAACAGCCAGCACATGACAGTCATTGTTGTTATATTAAATTTAGAGTTCTAGAAGAAGCAGGTAAAACAGAAATACAAGAACAGGGTCATAACACCTCCCACTTATTAACCAAGGTATATATTATAGGCAATGTGGCCCTTTAATGCATTACTTAGTTATCTAGGGTGAAGTATTCACCCAAAATCACAGAACCAATCTCAACATTCATAACTTCAAAGAAAGTCTATCTTTTAACCAAGTTATAACATTCTTAAATGTACAAAATATGTCAAACACACAAGAGATCTGCAATAGCTACTTAACATCACAAATAAAGACCTCATTATAATAACTCAGGGAAGGAATTAACAACCAAGGTGAGAATTACAGTTTAGCTAGGTTTACTAGCTTAACTCCAACCACCTATAAAAATTCAATAAATCAAACAATCAAAATAATTAAAGCAGTACAAAAACAATTTAACTAAATATATTTCATAATCACACCT